TCGAACTCACCTAGTGGACCTGGCTGAGGCATTCAAGATGATCAGGAAGTTCGGCATGCACCTCAACTCTGCTAAGTGTGCCTTCGGCATTGACTCGGGAAAATTTCTTGGCTTTATCATCCACCAAAGGGAGATAGACACCAACACCAAGAAGGTTCAAGCCATCATCAATATGCAATCCCCCCGCTCGGTAAAGGAGGTACAGTACCTAACTGGGAGACTTACTGCTCTTGCCCGATTCTTATCCCGATCATGGGACAAATGTCTACCCTTTTTCTGAGCTCTAAAGAGCCCAAAGGACTTTAGGTGGACCTCGGGATGTGAAGAGGCCTTTGCTCGACTCAAGGAACATCTTGCTCGACTACCCTAACTCGCCTTGGTCACTTCGGATGAGCTGCTCAACCTCTATCTCATGGCATCCGAACATGCAGTCAGCTCTATCCTAATCGGGGAGGATTCTAGGGCACAATAACCAATCTACTACATGAGCCACATCCTAAATGGACCTAAGGCATGATATCAATTGATCGAGAAGCTAACCTTGGTGCTTGTACAAACGTCCCAAAAGTTGCGCCCTTATTTCCAAGCCCACTCAATCCAGGTAATGACTGACCAATCGTTAAGGCAGATTCTATCCAAATTTGACATATCAAGGTGGATGCTCAAATGGTCAGTAGAGCTTGGAGAATTCAACATATAATACATCTCGAGGATGACCATCAAAGCTTAAGCCATCGCCGACTTTGTCTCAGAGTTAACCCCTCTTGAAGATAGTACCGGCACACACGCCGAGCAACGATGGACTCTGCATGTCGTTGGCTCGGCAAACAATGAAAGAGGAGGAGTCAGACTCGTTCTAAAGGGACCCATTGGCCAACAATACAAACACACATTTTGCTTTGGATTCAAAGCCACTAACAATTGTTAGGAACGAGTTGGCACTAGGGGGGGGAGTGTGAATTAGTGCAGTGATAAAAACATCGGTTTGAAAATTATTCATTCGATAAAAACTGATTTTGTAAATGTGCTTGACTTGAAAGCATGTTTCTTCGTAAGCATAGTGAAAGCAAAGTAAGGAGAAAGTTTGCTATGAAAGTAAATTGCTCAAAATAAATGCAAACTAGATTTTATAGTGGTTCGGTCATTGTGACCTACATTCACTCCTGATTCCTCCTTGGTTGAGGCCACCGATATCCACTATTGGTCTTCCTTCAATGGGTGAAGACCAACTACCCTCTTACAATACTTTTTCCTTTTCATAGGTTTAAGAGATAACCTTTACAAGTCACTCTTTTATAAGTATTCTCTCACACACCTCCCTTAGGACTAACTCTAAGCACTAGTATGAGGGAATTCAATGTATTGGTAGAGTTTTCATAGTTTTTTCCTCTAGAATTCTTACTCCTTTTTTGCTGCCCAAGTGAAAAATTTATAAGCCCCAAATGGTTTAAAAAATGGAGACAAAAATTTAAACTTCCGGGTCTTCTGGGTACAAGCGGTACCACCGCCTACAGTCCGACACTAGGCGGCACCACCGCCTATTCTGGCAGTACTACCACCTAACACACTGTCACTAGTTGGTACCACCACCCAGTCTGGTGGTACCACCGCCTGACAACCTCGGAGATCAAGTTTTTTGAGTTTTCCAACTCACAAGTGGTTCTACCAGTTGTTCTGGCAATGCCACTACTTGGCCCAACATTTGGGTCATTGAATAGGCCTAACAATGAGCCCAAGTCACTCCTAATTTAGGCCCAACTGACCCCTAATTGTGTTGGCCTAATTTCAACCCAATTATGTGCTAACTATGAATATTAAGACATTCATTAAGCTAAATAAGTTCGTAAGTCTATGTTTCTTCCAGCGAGCTTCCGGTGATCTTCTGACGAATTTCCGACGATCTCTTGACAATGTTCCAGTGGATTCCCGGTAAGCCCCTGGACTTAATGATGATCTTCTTGGTGAGTTTCGACGAGCTTCTTTGGCAAGCTCTTGGACTTCTTGGTCAATTTCGGTAGAACTTCCGACGACTGTCCGAACTTCCGACGAACTCTCGAACTCCCAATAAAATCTCGTTCTTGACTCTGAAACTTTATTTTGCTTTATGCCTTGCTATCATAGTTAATCCTGTGCACTTAAAAGCTACTTCGATCTAGATAATTATTACAAAGTAAATCAAATGTTGTCCGATATGTCATTGGTTCATCGGTGCTTCGTCCGAATCGTCGGCGCATCGTCCTCTCTTGCGGCCTATTGCCCAATCGGCCAGTTGACCTCTGGAACTTTGATTTACTTGGCACAATTTATCCTCTTCTTGTCCTAATGCTCGAACCCATGGCTCGAAGTCTTCTGCCGATACGTCGACTAATCCTTCGGCTCGATGTCCAATCTTCTAATATATTTTTCTTTGGCCCAACATGATTCTTCCTGCTTTTAATTGTCTCTTCCTGATCGAAGCTTCCTATGTCACTCAAAACACAGATCAAATCATAAACACTATCAATTAGTTTCATCATCAAAATCCGAGATTCAATAATCTCTCCCTTTTTGAT